GTGCAGTTCTCCATGTCCACTGCTCCCCTCCATTCCTGTCTCTCTCTTTGGAAACCTCTGGGGTCGCCATCGACTACCACTTGTCTGCAGGTCTGAAATGCTCCTGATTGAGAAGGCGCTGCCTACTACCTCCTTCACTGAAGTTGCTCTCTTTACTCTCCATGGGTTTCAGTTCTCACTTGAGATCCTTCTTAGGCCAGGGGACTCATTTCCCTACTCCTTCTCTTCCATCTATTGCTGTATTCCATGTCAGAACAGCAAATCTCAGAGTCTAGTTCTCTGCTGCTTACCACTATCCCAAAAGTTTTTTTAGAACATGACCTCCCAGCACTTTTTTTTGTGGATTGAAATACCCAGATAATTATTTTATCCCTCTTTCTCCTCTTTGTGTGTGTGTGTGTGTGTGTGTGTGTGTGTGTGTGTATTTGCAAAGGATAAAAAAGGTGATCATCTGCAATAGCATGAAATGTTACCTGATAAAAAAGTTGTTGGATGTATCTTGGTTATTGCTTTCTGTGGTTTTAGTTGCCTATAATGAAAATATTAAAAGGAGAATTTTAGAAATACAGAATTCTTGTTTTATATATTCTTAGTAGTGTGTCGTGTGTCACATCATCCTGTTTAGTCCTGCATGGGATGAGAATTACTTCTTTTGCCAGCATATCCACATTGTATATACTACTTATCTTTTAACTATTTAGTAACAGTTTCAGTTATGAGATGTATAGTTATAGGAAGTCCTTAGGCTGTATCAATGCTAACATTTCTCACTTTTTTTCCACCGTAATGTAGGCATTATGTCACTTCATGTCATTACAAGAAGTAGTATTTTAATTATTTTATTATGTTTTAATATTACTGTGATTAGTTTATAAATTAAACCATGATGAGTATGTTTGTATAGAAACAACATAGTATTATGATTTCAAACATCAGTGCAATATATTAGAGTGTATTTGAGGCAAACTGTGACTGTTCAGACTTTTATATTTGGCAGGTGTTTTCATAAAAATCAAATGAACTTTTTTTCTTTTGTATTTTTAGGAAAGGGTCGACAGGGTGTTAGGGTCTCACTATTAGATTGGACTCATAGTGATCCACCTGTTTACAGCCTCCCAAGTGCTGGGATTACAGGTGTGCGCCACCACACCCAATGTCAGTTGCTGTCTCAGTGCTCCCTGGGGGGTGGGGCCAGCAGGCAGGCCCAGGAAGAACACCCGGCACCTGCTCAAACGAACATTTCAATCTCAGAAAATGAATAAATCAAGTCATACAGTTATATGTAGAAGATGGGCAAGGCAATGATCCTGAGAATCTTCAGAAGATTTTTTAATCTAGCAGTTAATTGGAAAGATTCTCGCCCTGACTAACTATATATACTGACACCTGTGAATTAAGGTACTGCACTGCAGATGGTATTTTGTAATAGTAGTTTCATGCTTGGAGTGCCTGTCACTCTGGTCTTCTGAATATGGGCTGCTTGTCATGACATGCCAGTTGCTGCTATGATGTCTCTCGGGTAGATGGTTGTTCAAAAGGAAGGGGGTGGTGAGTGAAAGCAAGAGACAGGAAAAGGAATATTGTGGGACTGTCCTCCTTCAAGGTTGTATATGGTGAGATTTTTGGACTTACGTGTAAACATAAGAAGTATGTAATTCTTTATGCCTATTTTAAAAATATATTCTAATTTTTAAATGTTTTTTTATCATATTATGTAGGGACTTAAAGTTCAACATACTAATACTTGAGGAAAAATACCTGTTCCATATTATGCCTAAGATATTTGATATGCAGACAGATAGTAAGGTTAAGCTTAACAGCCTAAGTTGTATGGTAATAACAATAAGCTTATCTTCTGGATGGCTAACAACGTAAGTTTGCAGACCAAAATTAGAGAAAAAGGAGGGCTGCAAGGAAAGCCAACATTTTGGCCCTAACCTTCTAAGGTCAATTAAGACTCAGGACATATGAGAACTTGTACTGTAACGTCATATAACTCAGTAGTGTCCCAAATTTTCTGATCAAGGAGATTATGGGGCCAAAGAGGAAAGTGATAGATGATGTAGAGTGTGCCTAAGGAGAGTCACATGGAGAGAAAACATTCTCTCAGGCTTTCACAGCGAGCACATTGGCCAAGCAATGGCCGTGACTCATCCACATGGCTGACACTGACAAAGGTTCTACAATCTGAGGTACAGGATCTCGGATAAATCCTGAGGGCATTTCACTGACCTTCTCAGACCCAAAAGCTACAACTCTTGTTGCATAGGTCCTGCTTTACCTTGGTCTTAACCATCCAGCAGAAAAGTATAAAAATGATATATAAGAAGTAAAGCCATGCTGTTATGTTGAGCTGTAGGGGACTCAGGTCAACAATTTCTGACATTGCCAGTCAAGTGGAAGACCCAATACTATTATGGGCTACTGGACTCTTTTAGAATATTTTGCTGAGTTAACACACCTATAATATTCAAATAACGGAATTTAACAAAAAAAGGGTATACAGATGAATGTCCATTTTGAATCTGTATTCAAAGTGGTTAGGATAGATATGTAGTTACATTCTCTTAATGAATAGAGTGATTTGTTCTCATGGTGTTTGTAAATAAGATATCATGTCCACATCTTGTACAGCAATTAACCAGTAGGAAGAATTTATGCAATGTGTTAATTATTGAAACTGTCCTACCAATTTGATTTGAAACTGCCTCATTGCTATTTGTTTATCAATAAAATTATGGGGAAAAATGGCTTTTTATTGCCGATGATAAAATTTGAGATTTTGCATAACCACTGGTGTCGTGAAGAACTACTTGTCTCTGTGAATTTTACCCTTTAATTTTCTGGTTTTGCTCTCCCCTTTTTTTTCTTTTTCATTTATGTATTTGGTACAGTGTTTCACTGCATAGATTGGACTTGTAGTGATCCTTCTGTTTTCAGCCTCTCCAACAATGCTGGGATTACAGGCATGTGCCATCATGCCTGGACTCATTTGACAGCTCAGCATTCCCAGAGGGCAGGGCCAGTGTGGCATGCAGGACCCAGGATTGAAATCTAGTCCCTGTGCTTGCCAAAGCAGGTGCTTAGTACACTGAGCTATTTTGCTGACTCTTTTCTCCTTTTTTTTTTCATCTCTGTCCTCTCATCTGGGATCATTCAGGATATTCTGGAGTTTTAAAATTCTTTTGGCATGAAAATGTTGTTTTCCCTTAATTTCTAAAGACTGTTTCATCAGAGTATAATATTCTAGGTTTGCTGATTATTTTGCTTGAACATTTCGACTGAATATTTTGCTGTCTCTTGGTTTGTGAAAGTCATTGATGAGTTGACAGTACTCTTGATAGTTTTTTTAAGTTTAAAGCTGGGGAGATGCTTAGTGGCACAGTGACTTCCTGACAAGCACAAGGTCCTGAGCAATTCCTGGCGCATTACCCCCCCTTCCATAAATTAACTATGGATGCATGCAAATCATGGGTTTTAGTGCACTGTTTCCATCTATACATAATGTGCTGTGATCATATTTGTCCCTTCAACTCTCTTCAATAGTGTGCTTCTCAAATATTTTTTCTATTTCCCAATCATTTATTTTATTTATTTATTTATTCTGTATTTAGGACAGTATACAGGGTCTCACTATGTAAATTGGACTCTTAGTGATTCTCCCAAGTGCTGGGATTATAGGTGTGTACCACCACGTCCAGTCTCAGACATGGTCTCTGCGTGCCCGTGGGGCAGGGCCAGCATGGCACGCTGGGGATTGAACTCAGCTGTTGTGTTCTGCCTAAGCAGGTACTTTAGTCTGCTGAGCTATGAGGCTGGCCCTTCCCAATCATTTTTTAAAATTAAAAGTTCTATTTTTTTTAAGTTTCCACATATAACATGAACTACTTGTCATTTCTGGCTTATTTTGCTTTTATGTGATTCTTTTGCAGTTCCGTCTATATTCCTGCAAGTGACGTGACTTCATACTTCTTTCCATCGTATGATGTGGACATAGAGTTACTCTTTTTTCCCTAAAATTTTTTTCCTTCATTTTTTGTGGTGTAGGAAGCCCGTCCTGGTCCTTGTTTCAGTCCAAGAAGACTATATTTGTAATCCCAAAAATACGTTTTTGGAATTCCACCAAGTTAATTCCAGTTTGCCACTCCCAGTGCAACCCACTGCAAAAATAGGGACACTAAAGCATATTTATAATTATGGGGAGCCAAGGGTCCCTAAGTCCAGCCATGAAGATGGCTTTTGGAACAAATAGGCTGACCCAGGGCTGTACCTGGCTTTTATTCAGTGGAGGAGCAGTGGCTTGAGGATGAATGACTGAGAATTGTGGGAAGTAGGTGAACATTGTGAGCTGAGCTTGATAGGTAGCCTGCATTTACCTCTGTCATATGCAGAGAGAAGGACATGGAGAAAAATTCCTTTACATTTTACTATTGAGATAGTATCTAATGTTATGGAGTCAGGTGCTTCAGCTCTGATGTATAATCTTTCAAGCCCTAGGAAGTCATAGCCTCTTATCTCAAGGTTCTATCCCAGCTGACAGTGTGGAGCACTGGCTCTTCGTCCT